ACACACACACACACACACTTTCTCCCAGTCTTTGCTCCATCACTCTCATCTCTCCCCTCTCTGCTCTGCTGTCGTCTCTTTGTTCTCCTCCATACTGTCCTTCATCCTCCCCTCCTCTCCTCTCCTCTCCTCTCCCTCCATCTATTACTCATGTTAAAGTTCTACTTCAGTAGTGCTACACAAGGCCTAGAAAGGGAGGGAGTCAGTCGAAATCTGTCTTGTACGATCTAAATCCCCTTAGTCTCTCGCTGAGCCCTGCGAGGACGAGGGGCTTAGGCAGGCCAGACTGAGGCTCCATGTCTGTGTGTGTGTGTGTTTGACAGAAGGTGAAAGAAATATGTGAATGCCAACTTTTACTTGTAATTGTTTGAAAGCTAAATGAATGGTGCTAGAACCAGGTTCCCCTCTGTGTGTACGTGGAACCACATAAGCACATGTGCGCGTGTCTGTGTACACAAGTTAAGCTGACGAGAGCCTCCCCTGGCGAGCACACACACATTATTCATTTCTTCATTTTCTGCAGGCAGCTATAAAATAAATACAACATCCATTTAAAACAAACATGGAAAAAAAAAAGTTCAACTTGAGACCATGTAAGTACAGACTGAGGAGTCCCCGCTGCACCTGCAGACACACACATTTGCTGTGAAGTGATTTTTATTTGTCTCTGTCTGTCTCTTCCTCCACAATGTCTTTAAGAAAGTAAACTGCAGTTGCATGTTTTTCAAGCTTATGTGATAGCTTTTAACATCACACCGGTTTACCAACAGCAACAGTATAAGAATGTCCATAAGAAAATATTTTTACTTTGAGAAAAAAAAAAAAAGCGGTACAGATAAAATTTCAAAACAAAAGCATTGGTGCACCTTTGTTCTTCATAGAGCCAAAGTTCACTTTTCAACCTGTGTCCCAGGGTCTCATTTTTCCAGTATGAGCATTTCAGAGATGCCTGAGGCTCCATGAAGTTCACTGTGAACTCTGTGTGTAACGTTATACTGTGACAGACTGTGGCAATTGAGACTCCACTTCCAAATTTTACTTTATGGACTTTGTTCACCTTAGCAGAAGCTGCAGACACAAAATTGCAGATCAGTGCTCTCTTTTGTTAGGATACAAATTTGCATAATCAGACAAATAATATTTCTGGTTTAGAATTGTTTTGTATGTTTCCTGAATTGTAGACAGCATGCTCAAATAGACTACACACAGTGTTTTTTTGATGATAACTGATAATGGTAATTTTGCACATGAAACCACATTGAAGTGTGGAAGACCTGTTTAGCCATGCATCAACTACTATAGGAGGTCAATGTCCAAAGCCCAAAACATCTCAGCCCAATGTGGGGCTCGATATATTGTGAAAACTTACTAATATATGACATTGCAGTATGTATTAAAAGCCACATTTGCATCCAGTCTGAGTGATCGGGTGTCAAAATCATCCTTAATGTTTAAACAGAGTGTCAGAACAAGTCAAAGAAATTCATTTAGTTCTTCTCAAAAGGATTCACGCTCTACCGACTGAGCTAGCCGGGCTACACCTCAGGGATAAAAATGAGGATAAAAAAGGCTACTGTTACCATATTACCATGACTAATTCAAAACAAACATGTTAACAACATGCACACACGTGCACTACATAAAAAGACAGATACGATTTTTGGGAAGGGATTTATTTAACATGTTCTTTGATTTTCTAATCAATGTAACATGGGTTAGGGGTGGTAGGGTGGAAAACCCAGTATTGATAATGCTGCATCCAATTTAAAAGTCATGCGCCCAACGTGGGGCTCGAAACCACGACGATTAAGAGTCTCATGCTCTACCGACTGAGCTAGCCGGGCTATTCGTAATCTTAAACGTGTTAATCGTTCGAGATATGAGCTACGAGCATGTTAAACTGTACTGTCATCTTGCCTACAGAGTAGTGTTTCTAGTTTAGGAAGGGTGGGTGTTATGTACTTAAGTGATGTGTTTAAGTGTATTTCAGGCACTGGAATTTGTGTCAACATTTACAGAACTATGTTAGAAGAGCAGGTCACTATGCTGTGAACTGTCCATGACATTTGGAAAGATGGTTTCAAATGGAGCCAGAGACCAAAGGTCAACCAATGTCCCGAAGATTAGAAGCTTTAACAAATGAGCTAGCAAAACAACTAACGCATCAAATTTTAGCCTCACACATTCTCCTTCATTTCATCTTTTTATCCTTTCCTTGTGTTTCTGTCCTTGTCTGAAGAAATCAGGAGTAAATGACACATAAAGCATTGAACAAATGTCTTTGTTCCTGGAGAAAGATGGAGAAAAAAAGATAGAAATAACGGCCTGAGACAGAAAGAAAAGAAAGAAATTAGAGTTAAGTTGAAGAGGATAAGCTGTGTTGACAGTGTGTCTGATCTCTGATATCTATAAAACGGCCTTACTAAAGCTAAATCTCTCAACCCTTCTGCAAACACACCGTCTTTTCTTTTTCCCCTCCTCTCTTCCTCCACATCTTAGAGCTCTCTTTTTCTGAATAATCCCAGAAGTTCCTCCCTTCTCCCTCTTCCTCTCTTTATCTCTCTTTTCTCTCATACACAGTACTTCCCATGATTACGATTCTGTCTTATACCTAACACTCCGCTCCTTTGTCTCTTGTCCACCCTTTCTTTAATGAGATATTTTTCATGTTGATTTTAGGTCTATCTCTCCTCAGCAGACAGAGTATTTCTTTTCTTTTCTTCTCTCTCTCACTTTTTCAACTCTTGAGCTTCTTAGCATGCCTTTGTATCCGTGACTGATTCTCTCTCCTGTTCTATTCCTCTCGACAAAATGTTCTCATTTCCATATCTTTCCTTATACTCCCTCTTCTCGTTGTTCCTTGTATAGTTCGCTAGTTTCTCTTGTATGCAGGTTTTTTATTTATGGTTTTGTCCCCTGTATTGATGTTTTGTAAACAAAAGTATATGATTTCTGCAGCAGAATTTTTACATTATGCATGCTGCCTGTTATTCACACATTCCTGGCATGTTGTGAATGCGTCTGACAAAATCCTCTTGCATTCTTCATATGTCAAAGGCTCCAGAAGACAAACCAAACACAGTCTTGACAATGCTACATCCAAATTAAAGGTCATGCGCCCAACGTGGGGCTCGAACCCACGACCCTGAGATTAAGAGTCTCATGCTCTACTGACTGAGCTAGCCGGGCTACACTTGAGGAAATAGGGGGCCGAAGGAACAAAAATGAGTTATGACCACAAGCGTGTTAAGCCTGATGAGGCATAGCGGCATTGGGCATTAAAAGAAATGGTTCAATTTTAGGTCCAATAGATGTTATGAAGAAACTGTATACATTATATCCTGCCTCCAACGTGCTCTACCTATGTTCCTATTGTGAACTTGTCTGAATCTGCTGCGTTCTTATTATAATATGTGAAAAGTAAAATACCAGAAGATGATCTTCCAAAAATGTACCGCACTTCTGGTCCGAAAACAGAAACATTTAATTTTAAGTGTCATACTAGCATCTACAATAGTGAAATATCATGGTGAAATATATTCAAACCAAACTGCAACCATTATTAGTTTGAATCAAGCAATTTTTGGAGTTCAACCTCAGTCCAAAAAATTATCTTTGAAGGTAAAAAATGGAGAGAGCTATTGTGCCTTATCTGTGTCACCATCCATTTTGGTTTAAGCCTCGTCTGTTGGAGTTTCCACAAAAGAGACATGGTTTGCAGAGTGTTATTAGATGAGTCACTGGTATAAATACGTGTTTTTGAATAAACTCTGTGACCCCATGTCGCTCTGGTAGCAAGCTAACGATCTTACTAACTGGCATTTAGAAAGAAGTTAGTAAGATCGTTAGCTTGAAAAGCTTAATTTTCCTCTTTGTTGAACGAAATACTGGATGGTCCTGAGAACAAAATGCCAGGGAGGGTAACGGTGAGGGGAGGACAAGGATTGAAAGAGCAAGAGAAGAACAAAGAGAAATGAAAGAAGACGAAATTAACACCTCTTCCTTCTTTCTTTCTGTCCTATTCGAATTCTCCCGTGCGGCATCTTCCCCTTTTCTCTAATTGTCAGGAACGCTGACCACAGCTCGCTTGTTTCCATGCCAACTATCACTTAATCTAATCATCAAACCATTATTTCTTCTCCTGCTCCCTCATTGTTCACCTCTCATTCTTCTCCCTATCCTCCCCTCCATCTATCCTTACTGTGGCACCGCTGTAACCCGCTGACAACGTAGAGAATGAGAAACAAATGAGGAAGGGGGAAAAAACTGCTGAGTCATGCCTAGCAGAAAATTATTTCATCGTTACAAGGCTCCAGGGGATATTAGATGAGTATATTGTTTCGTCTTTCCCTCCAGCGGTGAAAGAGGACCCTTTGTTGATATCTGTGGAATTATCAATAATGAAAAGTTGCTGAGTCAAGGCTGGACAAGAACTATTTCATCACGACCAAAAATTAGATTTGCTTTCCTTTCCACTTTCTCCGACAAGAGGAGAAAGTTGTTGATAAGTGGGAAATTACAAATGACAATGAAAAGTGTCAGAGCTGAGCACTGAGGGGGGATGTTTCATTTTGAGACGTCTCTGTGGAGCAATAAATTAGATTAGAGCCACATTTTTTCACTTTTGCCAGTAACTGGAGAGGTCATAAGAATAATTAATAAATAATGAGGAACCCTAAAGTTTTTGGGGAAAAAAATATAAAAGACAATAAATTCCAAAATAAGCAATGAGAAACATGACAAAAATATTTGTTTTAATCTGCATTTAATCTATAAAATAACCTATTTGTCTTTAAGACAGATCTATTTAACTAACACTTTTGCCCTGAATGCCATATTTTATGTAAACCGACTTTTTGGATATGTGATGAACAGCTTGTTTACTGTTCCCTGTCTTTTTAGTGAGTTTTGTCTGTCGGTAACGTAAGTTAAGAGTGTTCTGGGTTTGGTAAAAATAATAAATTGTTTTTAAGCATGAATGTGGGAAAAACCAGTGGAGTCAAAGTCTTTAGATGTGTGCATATAACAGCCAGGCCTCACACAGGTGGGGATGAATGGCTGCAGCCACACATACACCACCTGTAAATGTTAACCACATGTGTGGGCAGTAGCATACTTTCACCTCCCCCCTCTTCTCTCACTTGTTCCATTTCATGAATTATTACAGTCTCTCCCTCCTCTCTTTGCTTTCACACTCTCTTCACCACAATATTCTCTCTCTCACACTTTCTCAAGGTTTTAGTCTCCGTCTCTCCCAACGCTGTTGCAGAAAGTAAAAATAACAATAAAAGTGAGGAGGAGGCAGAAAGTGAGAAAGACAGGAGGAGCAGAGTGCGGAGAGCTGAGGTCACCTTGATCTACAGCATCCTGCCGACACTTCAGCTGCGGGCCAAAGGTCAACACGCAGGAAACACTTTGAGGGTCACACACCTATTCTGTCACACACATGTTTTTATATTTATCTAGTATATATGCTGCAAATGTAGAAATTTCATTTGGGAGGATCCATGTTTTTTTCTGTCTCTTCTAGCAAAATGTGGAAATCTCATGTTACAGTACACACTGCAACAACAAAATACTGCACTCATAAAAGTACTCATATTTATTACATCCCTAGTTCACCAAAACACTAGATGAAGGATGGGGAGTGGGTCAGAGAAGAACCCATTGAAGTTTGGTGCAGATCAAGAGATCTTGTATTTCTTTTTTTTTCTCATTATGAGATGGTGTTTTGCAACTTTTTGGGGAACTTCTAAGGAAATAATTCTGCAGCAGAAATCACCGTCATGTTCAGAAGTCAAATTCAGAACAGACCTGAGACGTCAGCAGCTTTTAAGCACCCGCGCAGCAGCCATCCATTCAAAAAACACTCAGCGTGAACTTTGATTGACTGACGAGTGATGGCCGTCGAAGAAACACTCACAGAGAAACGTTAAAAAATAGCAGTGTTGATTGTACATGAAATGGATACAAGAGAAACACATCTATGATACTTGCAAAGCCCAAGTAGGTTGCCAACCCAAAGATAATTCATATAAAATGACTACTTTCTGTTTCCAGTTGCTGTATTTGGTCCTATGGCAACCATGAGTGTGGCAACAACATTCACTTTAAATTTCTGATCAACGCTGTCTGGGTCCGTCTGCCAGGCAGGTTATCAGTGGATCAGAGTGTGTGTATGTGACACTGAATGAGCGAGCTAAAAATACAACACCAACTTCAGCTCACTGTAAGATTAGACACACAAACACATTCACACAGGAATATTGAGGAAGTCCCCGCTGTGATCCATCATTGAGGGACAGAAAATTATGACACCACAGAGAGAGAGAGAGAGAGAGAGGAGAGAGACCAAGACGAGAGCAGAACCACTCACACCCTTGCAATTGCAAACACACAGACGCACACCAACACATACACACAGAGCAGCAGACAGTGGAGTCTCTGTGTTGTCAGTAACCACCTTCGAGAACCTGAAGTGTCATAAACGACTTCAAACAGGATGAACAGAGTGACGACAGGATGAGGGAGGAAGCGAGCAGAGTGATGCATTTTATAATGACTTCATTTGACACAACACTCACTGCCTCACTCTTAAACACCAGTTCAAACACTCTTTGGCTGCACACACACACATTTAGCTCTTTCTTGCACGTGCCACATTTATCTAACTGAGTCCTTTGCGAACTTTTTCCACCCATTAAGTGGATTTTTGGCAAAATCTCGTGCAACAACAGAGGTGCTAGATGTTAACGAATTCAGCAGTTCTGAGGATGAAAACTCAATTATGGTTACTGCACAGCACTTCAAATTCAGAGTTTAAATAAAGAAAATAAAAAAGGTTCTGCAGTCACTCTTTAGTCTTGATTTATTGTGTGTCATAATCATATCAGCGTGTTTGGCGATTGTTGGTTCAATGCATGTACAGGAGGTAGAGAAACAAATGGACGAAGCCCCAGTTTTAACACGTTAAGGCCACGTGGAAAGCAAAATTTAAGCTACTATAAACGCAAGTTGTGTACATGTAATGTGTGATGGATGGAAGGATGGTTAGAAGAAATATTTGCACAGAAAAGAGAACAGTGAAGAAGAAACTCTACCAAACTCCCAGGAGGCTCATCCACTAAGGAGTTGGTTAGTTTACTAGAGCCGTGAGAACCTGTGTGAGTAGACCTCTGTGTGGAACCACAGATACATTTGGCCTTGTTTATATCCTTGTTTTTGGCCTGGGTGAGCGTGCACATATCAGGGTGTGCACACATATTTGTGTAAGTGAATGCATACCAGCAAAGTGACGTGGATGGTTGTGCGTATTTGTGTATACAGTATGTGGACAGAAAACCTAAATTATATGAACATGTATACGAATCCATATGAACACATGTGGGAGAGTTATCACCTCAGATTTGTAGAAAATGGTAACTGTGTGTGTCTTGGAGAAGGAGAGGTGCAGGTTAATCCTAAATTTACCGTCAGTGGTCGGAGGACTGTGGTCACATCTGTTTCTTTCTGCGTCTCTTGTTTTCTTTGCTCCCCTCATCACTGCCGCCTCACCTGTCCTCGCTCTCTCTCTCCGTCTGTTATTCTTCTACAACAGTTTTCTTTCTCTTTCTTCTCACTCTCTTTTCCTCTAATCTTCTTACTATGATGCATCAAATCCGTCAGTGGCTATGTATGAATTTAATTCGCCTATCTCGTGCACTGTTAATCCAATCTACTTGGAGGTGTGCCAAAGGCAGAGCAGTTGAAAATTTGATAGAATATCGACAAGCAACACAGTCAATATTAATACATATTTCAATAAAAAGCAGAACAGTGCTCTGTAGCAGTAGTGAGGTCAATGATCAACACAAAGGCACATTGCAAGGATGGCTGCACCCGGTCCAACTCAGTACATTCAGAAGTCCAAGCATGATTCCTCCCAAGAACGAGCTGCAGCTAAAAATCCCTGCCCTCTATTGTCTAAAGTGTGTGTGAGTACTTGAGACAGACACCCACCAATTACAGTGCTCCACACAAGCACTTGATGTGAAAGCACCAGAGCGTGTTGTGAAGATGTCAAAGCACCAAAACATTAAAGTTTTTAAGTGTTGAATGTTAGTAGAATAACTGAGAAAAATCCTTGCCTATAATATGAGTCTGCGGGAGGACCTTGCCTCACCAACACTATTATTCAGCTGTTTCATATTTTAAATTTGTGGCCATTAATGTGGAGAAAATGGCTTGAAATGTTGTTAGAATCTGGAAATCATGTGTGAGGTTGTTTCAATTAATGTTTCTCAAGAAAACTGCAACCAGTAACACCACAGTCCCAAGGAAATGGCCCATTTGCACTAGTATAAATAAGTGACCAAATAAAATTCTCCGTGTCCACTTGGATGTCTGTGTGTGTGTGTGTGTGTGTGTGTACTAATCAGAGCACAGTAATCATACCTGCTGTTTGAGCTGCTGAACCAGACTATCCTTCTCCCTCTTGAGAGTGGCCACCTCCTCCTGGGTTTTCTTCTTCTTGGACGAGGACAGCTCCAGCAGGGCGATGTTGGCGTCTTTCTCACTTATAGCTGCCAGCAGCGCCTCTTGCCTGCAAAAAGAAAAATCACACATTTGAATTAACACATTTTAATTTAGCACTGCTTTCAGACATGAACTAATTTGATTTGATTACATTTTTTGCACAAAACACTTTCAGCTTTTTCTTGCTCATTCAGAGACACATTGTAGCGTTTGTTCACCCAAATTACAAATAACACATTCATCCACATACATCCAGTCACATCTAGCAAGTTTTGGATTTATTGCCCTATGTTTTGAGAGTTCTGCTGCCTCCGTGACACTCTTCCTGCCACTTCCCTCGTAATGAGGTGGAGACAGAAAAATCCCAGAGATGGATATCTTAAAATCAGGCTAGAGGAAGCCAAAAGTATTTGCATGGCTGGATACCAATTTGGGTGTATTTTAATGTCATGGTGAACCCATGGCGTGTCAACAAATGTAGGAAAGTCCTCATAATTGGAGCACGGCATTGTGATTTAGAAGGATAAAATTGGTGTATTTTTGCAGAAATATGAGGATTGATGGTGGTCAAGTATGACGCACACCATGTAATCAAGACGTCCCCAGTTCATTTATGGTGAGGATCTTGTGTCATATGTATAATCTTTCTCTTCCTTGGTTTCCCTCCACACCATCTATCCAACCATAGAAAAAAATCCCAAACACATCAGTAAAAAAATAATTTGCATATAGTGAAACTTTTACTTTGTCCTCTCGGCAGGGAGAATTGTAAAGACAGAGATCTTAAGTCTGGTCTTATTTGTGAAATTACCAGAGTGTATGTTTGTATGTCTGGGGGCTGAATAGTATATAAAATATGTAACTATATGAGTACACACTTGTGTATAAATTCCCTGGCTCACTCTTTCCATAATCCTCTCCTGCTTGTCTCTCTCTATCTCGTCCCCCTGTCATAATGGTCGGGCTGACAGATAGATAGCATTCCATGTGGTCAGGGAGCAACAAGCCGCATCCCATCTGCCACAGATCTGGCTGAGCCGTCGCTGAGACACCCCAGGCTCTGATTTCACTAAATTCTGTCCGTTTCCAGAGAGAGAATCTAAATCACAGTGGTTTCCCCACAATCCCACAGGGATTAACTGGCCACACACACACACACATATGCACACAAAAACAACGATGCAAACACATCACATCACATCACATCACATATGAGTAAACAAATATATTCCACCTCTGGCTGCTGTTCTGAATGTTTGCAATTCGGTAAAATGTGGAGGGTTCACTTTCTGTCTTTACTCAGAACACAATTACTACACACACACACACACACACACACACGTATACACATACACTCAGGTACATTGGTGCAAAGAGTGCAGAGAGGAATGCAGAGATGAGAGCATCTGAATGAAGATTACATGTTTGGTGATGTGAAGACCCACAGATTCTATGCCGAGTCTCACTGACCACACTGTCAGTATGCAAGTGTCCCATCATCCATCTGCACTGCTGCAGTCTTGTCAGAGGCAGCTGAACAACTTCAGACTACATCAATTCCCGAGGGACGTCTGGTCACTGTCAGACTCCTCAGAATTCTTTTTTATGAAAGACTTTCCCAGTTCGTGAATATCAGGCAACTTTTTCAAATATTTATTATCTTGTACCGTTCTATTAGCATCCAGTGTAACAGACCTTAATATTTCTATCATTTGTCAATAATAAATGTTTGAAAATAAAGGATATGAATAAAGAAGGAAAAGGAAGAATTCAAGGGTTTATGGTGTTTTTGTTTCAACAACACAGTGGGAAACTGTTAACACTGTCACTGTCTTTCTTTTTCAGACAAACACTGGCGGGTGGACATGCACGCACACATACAGAAAGGCTAATGGAACATTCGTCTGGTTAAAGCTAACAGTGCATCCAGTTTTATATCATATCTGAGAGTTACCTGCCAGCACATGGCGCTTATAAACCCCAGTGATAAAATGATATTTATTCCAGATGCCCTCGTCTCATTCGGGGCCTCTCCATGGCGCTCCCTTCATCTCACACATTTAAAACACTCTCAGCTCTGCCTTTTCAGCTTGCAGAGCTAAACACACGCTTACGACCATCGCTGATTGTGGCTACTGCAGTTGCTATGTGATCATTACAAAAAGCAGTCTTAAGTGCAGCACTCTTTATGAAAGCTAAATCTTTATTAAAGATAAGTCGGCCATTTAAAACATGGTATGCTCTCAGCGGTGCTTGCAGTGCATCCTCACAGTTGAAAATAACAAAAGCAACGAAGCCAGCGCTCTGAGGAGGAAGTGCTCCCAGTGGATACGCTGCCTTAGATCTGTAACTTTCCTTTCAAGTCCTTCCTTTGTGAAGCCATATAGAGAGCAAAGTAGGATAAAGGAAGGTCTGCTAACAGTAAGTGAAGAATAAAAGCTTGTAATCTCTTATCTCTAATACTTACTCACTCCAGCAGCACCTCTGGTCTTATCTGTAGCGGTACTTATGCACTGAATATCCCCACGACTTATTTATTTCAGAAGTGTGACACATTTGTCTTTGTTTGTTTATGAGGCCTCTTTAACCATCTGATGTTAGCTCTGCATGCACTGCAACACTTATACCCCTTTCACACTGGACCAAAAACCCACCAACACACGCTAACATCTGGCTTTTGTCTTCACAGAGGAAATGGTACAAATGGCATTCAACCCCAGATGAAATGACTCCATAGTTGTCATGGATACTTATCAGTTCCAGCTCTGATGGCCAGTGATGGAAACGTGACGCCCGGTTAGAGACGCTAATTTTTGCCTCCAAGATACTTTGTACTGTTCACTCATCCTGTTGTGTGTGTGTTTTTGAGAACCATCGACTATATAAAGTTGGAAGACCAGCCAGCAGAAGTGAAGCAAAATTGTCCTGATCGCCCCCTGGTGGATGGCTACTCTATAGGTGGTGTAAAACTGGTGTGGTTTTTTATTGAGAGTACTGTGATGGTGGAGCTGGGGTTCAAAAGTAGGGGGCTACATTGGAAAATGCTGGATCATCATAATCAGTAACGCGATGCCATCAATCGACACACTTGATTGACAAGTCACTGTAAAAGTTCATAGAGAACTTGCATCAGGCTGAATATCATTTCAAACAGGTGGTGATGGAGGTGACTAGTTAAACAGACATGTTTATTTCAATTTTTCACAGTGTCCCTTTCAACTTCTCTTCTCACCCCTCTTCACTTTCTAGTCTCTCTCTAACTCATTCTCCATCAGTATCTCTCGCCCACCCTGCCTTCCTCATCTATCTCTCCACCTCCTCTCTCCCTCCGCCTGTAAAGAAGACAAGAAGGAATTCTTTCCGTCGTTCGGCAGTCGTGTGCTATGATGTCATCCCCGTGGCGACAAGGCAGACAGTAAGCAGAAACACGCAAACACGCCAGGCACCTGACCCCAACCCCAACACACACACACTTGGAGGCTCTCGCTCCATCCTAAAACCACTTAAGGCCCCTCGCTTTATCAGAAACACTAAAGCCTGGTCTTAGATCACTCACATATTTCTATACACACACACTAAAGCAGCTTCCCGTGTGTGCTGTGTTGTCTCTTTCATGCTGTAACACTTAACAGCAATCTACAGTGTGTGTGTGTGTGTGTGTGTGTGTTCAAGTGATAAGTGTATGTCTCTGTTATGACAGCATGTGTTTCTGTGTGTGTCTTTGTGCTTCTAAGGATGTACTTAGTGTGCATGTGCATGTTCGCAGGTTGTCTATGAGTATTCACGGCTTATTTCTGTGCATTTGTTTGTGTAAAAGTGAAGTGTGTGTGACTGTGTGTGACTGTGTGTGTGACTGTGTGTGTGACTGTGTGTGACTGTGTGTGTGACTGTGTGTGACTGTGTGTGTGACTGTGTGTGTGACTGTGTGTGTGTGTGTGTGTAAAGTAGATTCAGTCCTGTGTGACATTGGCCAGTCTCTGTCTAAGACAAACACAGAGCTATTTTAGAAATAATCCCCCTTCTCTCTGCTCTCTGTTTCCGACTGAACAAAGCAGCCCCTCCATTGTTTTCTGTGACACTGTCTGCTCTGGTTACACAGGGGGCCGCTTGTAGGACGCCAGAGTTTACTCTTTAACCCCTGTAGGACGTGGTGCGTGTCAAGCTCGACCTCATTTTTGCAAGGGGAGGTTTTGCGCTGCACGCTGACCTTCAGAGAAACATTTGGGAAAACATTTTAAATGCTACATAAGCGATGAGGAAGTCCCCCCCCCCAAAAAAAACCAACTCAACTCTTTTCAGACCAATTCTGAGAGAATGATTGAGTTTTGAGGAGAGTGAAATCAGCGGGTACTGCTAAAAAATGCAGTTCTGCGATAATTATATTTACTTTAATCATGAGTGATGAGCTTTGGTTTGCTTTAAACAAAAACAGACAGAATGAGTTGCAGAAATTTTAATTATACTTATTTATTGGTTTCATGCAGTGATTAAATTTTGGAGAGGGGGTGCTGTTGGTAAGCATGGCGAGCATCTTAAAACAACCTGCATCAAATAAGCAATCACCTGAAAACTAGACTCAGTCCTTGCACTCTGAGCCTCTGGACAATTGCTTGAATTTAATCTTTGACTGAAAACATGCTGATTCAAGAAAATACAATTCAAGATGTCCAGGGATTCTCAAGATAAAGTGTTAGATGACAGGAGAGGGGAGTTAGGGAGGCCACCTAAAATACAGGAACACCTGATGACACTGAGGATAGGCCCAGAAGATCCTCACAATGGACAGTATCATCTGCAAATAATATTTGTTTATACAACATTAAGGGCATTTGTAGCTTTTCCTTAAAAAGTTAATAAAAAAGAAAAGGATGAAAAAAAGAGAGAGTGATAGGCCGTAATATTCTTTTCAAAGTGAATAGGAGAAAAAGGTGATTTTAGAAAGAGAAAAGAGCTTGAGGTGAGATGAGAAGACTGAGATACAGGAGGGCACAGCTGGCTCTCAGTGGTATCTAATGCTGCCTGGGGGCACGCACACGCACGCACGCACACACACGCATGCACACACAC